TATAAAGTAAAAAAAATAATATGAAGAATTATTTTATAAAATGTGTTAGATTATGAATATTTTTTTATAGAGAATTAAATTTTTGAGAAAATAATTATAATTATTAGATGCAACAAATTTTGATAATTGTTGTGATGTCTTTGTTGAAGAATCAATCAACAACCACTTTTATGGTTTTTTTTTTTAAATTTTAATATTTTTATGTGTGATGTCTTTTGTTTTATCAAGTAGCATAATCAATAAAGTATGCAACAATAAAAATATAAGATATGTTTTATCGTAGAACTAGTTATTGTCTGTGCCTAAAGGCACATTGTAATAAAAAATGATAAACAATAAATATATTTGTATTCATATTCAAAATCAAATCACAAACATAGAGAAAATATAAAAGAATTTAAGTATCGGTTTGTAATGGGGGTGAGAGGTGGTGGGCGGCAGTGGTGGTTGTAAGAGACGGTGATGATTGTGGTGGGGTGGCAATGACCGTGGTGGCAGCGACGACGGCGATGATGGTGGTGGCGATGACAGAGGCGGTGGTGGCAACAACAGAGGTGGTGGTGGCGATGGCGACGGTGGTGTTAAAGGTAGTGGTGGTGGTGGTGGCGACGACTGCAATGACGGTGGTGATAGTGGTGGTGGGGGTGGAGGTGGTAGAGGTAGTTGTGAGGCGGTTTCAAACACTGTTATTTTTTTAAAGTATTTATGAAAAATAATTTCTCGAAATATTTTTAAAAAATTACTCTAAACATACCCTTAGAGGCCTATTTTTCCTATTAAATTTAGAGTGTTAATATTAGCCATTAGATTAACTTTAAAGTAAAATTTAAAGCGATCTCAACCGCGAATAGCAAAAGTCATTTTGTTTATCTTTTAAAATTTAAATTGTAAGATACTTTATTATATAGATGTATCAAACATATCTTGACCTAATATTAAAAAATTCTGTGGAATTATCGTGTTCATATTATATCTTGTTCATTTCACATATGTTATATACTTATACTAAGAATTTGTTATCTTAATTATTTAATAACTAGGGATAACTCGTACCTGAAGATACAGTATAATATAAATGATTTTGAAAGGAATATTGGTGGCCATTAAATGAGTCTATTTGAGACCGTTAGATAAATTTATTGAATTTCGTCCTGTTTTATATTATAAAAATGTCGATCATACTTTTTTTTTGGGCTGCAATGTACTATAAAAATTAGAACCTTTTTGAAACAATTTTTTTGTGACGGTGAATCAAAGTGAAGAATGGTCAAGGCAACGAAGTGAGGATGATGAAGTCCTCGAGCCAATGGAAAGCATGCAGCAGCAAGAGCAAGAATGTGATGAATGACAAGGCTTCCCCATATCCTGGTAGCAGTAGGTATCAATGACAAGGCCCAAGAGACTTTGAAAAATCTATGCAATAAAATACCTAGTTATTTGAATTTGTATCTCCTATATATTATTCTCCTAAAAAATATTACATCAATTATTTATATCACATGTTCAGTTATTTAATATTTAATTAATTAATAGTTTAACATATTTTTTATTTTAGACATTATTCATACACGATAGCATATACATGTTGATAAAATTTTGTCGGATTATATATTTTGAGAAAATTTTGTCAATATTTTTAAGAAAATAATGGGTAAAAATAAATTTTAAATAATGTAATCAAAGAAATTAAGGAAAAAAAAATTGTTATTTAATATAGTGTGATCAATTTTTTAGAAACTCAAACTTTATGTTCTATAATATTTTCAGGCACGAGTTATAACTAGTTCACATATAAGAATCGTAATCTTATGAAATTCCTCACATAAAATGAAAACAAAGAAAAGACTGAGAAAGTTAAAGACAAACACATAGATAAGACTATACAATTGGTGATTGTGCAAGTTATACGCAATCTATTTCTTACCTTTATATGAAATTCAATGAGGTAATCTCAACGTTGTCAATGACTTTTTAGTTAACTCTCTTCTTTTTTTTACTCATGATTCTTGCCGAACTAACGATTTCTTCCCCTTCCTGAACTATGAGCTGCAATCACTCTTTAATTTATTGTTTAGTGTATTTTATTGTGGTAAAATTTTTTGTGATTGATATATGTTTTTAGTTGTTTGTATTCTTAAGTGGTCTACAATTAATTTTTAATTTTCAACAATTCACCTCAATCCAAACAAATATAAATTTATTATTATATTTTTATTCGATTAAAAAATATTAATTAAATTTTAGAATTAAAGTGTCAACCTTAAACTAGATTACTGGTTCCGCCCTTGATTGTGTCAATAATACGGCAAGGGCCATTTACTCAAGATTGAAGAGCGTAAGTGGTCCTTTTTGGATAAATTTCTCTCGAGAGCAAGAGGTTATGGGGAAGATATAAATTTCTATCTTAGTGAAATGAGAATGTTAGTAAAGAACACAAGAGAGTTCTACTGTGATATCATCCTCATGTCTGGCCATGACTTTGTTGAAATGATGTTACTTGACGGATGCTTTGTAATTGAGCTCTTACGCCATCTTGGTCGTAGTGAATATGTCATCAACGAGGACGGCCCCATCTTCACAAGTCCATGGTTGAATCGTTGTTTATGTCGTCCAAGGGTGTGGAAGACGTTCATCTAAGTGAATACTGGGAAGAATATTGTCTTCAATGTTCGCAACTGCTATCTCTCTAAGCAGTTCAGAGAAGTAGAGGCCTATTGCAGCAGCAATTGGGCAACCATGAAGCGTACTTATTTTAGCAGTCCATGGTCATTAATCTCAGTGTTTTCTGCCTTCCTCATCATAGTACTCACTATGATACAGACTATTATGTCTGTTTTGAGTTACCAACGCCAGTTCGGATAGCCTAATATACAATGTGCAGTATCCATCTATTGAGTTCTGCAGTGTAGTTTTACAGCTTTCAGGGTGTGAATGTGATCTTTGATTCACAACAACTTGACAGGACTACAAATCTACTATTCCGATGTGCTAATTGCTTTTATGAACTTCTAATTAGCAGATTATAAAGACGCTCACATGCCCTCTTAGCTATATGTAATGTGTGTAGAGATAATTTCGCACTATGAGTGATGGTGAGAAAGCATAGAGAACACCAAGTGAACTGATAGCTGGAATCGGCAAAAAGAACTCCGATATTTAAGTCTAATCACAAGTCAACGAAAAAATTAAAGTAAATAAGCTAGGATTGAATCTTGGTACTAGAAGCCTTTATTTATAGCAATTGGAAAATGTATCACAAAAGAACCTAAACTGTTGGTCAACCTTATAACCAAGTGCTAGATGCATGGAGTAGAGTTAGATTATGACTCTTGGTTTTAGATCCTTATCTCTAACTCCTGCTTATTCGAGGTAGAATAACACTAGGATTCTTACTCCTAGATTGAAGGAATAGATATGCTCGCGAATAAGTTCCTACAAGGACCCCCCGTTGACTAGTGATGACTTACAGTAATAACTAGACAGTAGCAGGTAGGCGGTAACAGCTGATTAGTAATAGATAGACAGTAGTAGGTAGGCCGTAGCAGTTGGACAATAACAACTAGGCCTTTGGTCGAAAATAGCAACTTGGCAATGCATCTAGTCCCCACATAATGGTTATATGAACGCTTTATAAATTGGTTTAGTTCTCATGTGTGCAAAGCATTCTTCCAAACTAAATTGTTGGCTTTGTACTTGTTTTGATTAACAAAACAGATTATAAGGATGCATGCATATTACTTTTATCATCATATGCATATCATAGATTATTATTTGCAATGTTATATATTAAATACAGGTCCACCGATTAAAGAGAGCGAAATTGTACCAATCCTGATGTCAATTTTATAGAATCTACTGTCTGCTACTTTGTTATGATTTCTAACGCCAACAAACTTTGTATAAAATTGAATACTATTATTCTTGCATGATTACAACATGCATCTTGGCTACAGCCTGCAACAGCACATAAAATGAGCATTTGGTTCACTGGAGACGTGGGTGGGGCTTATTATGTTTCAATTTGTTGACATTAATGAGGGTTTTGTATTCTCATTGGATGTTTGGAGACCCTCTATCGAGTGTTATGTTTTCTTAATAATAAAAAATACTCGGGTGCAACGATGGAGTTAGAATTTTATTCTGAGAGTGACCGAATATTAAAGTAATCAGAAATTTTTATTTAATGGAGTCATTCAATGAGCAATTGTTATTATCAAATATTTTATTGTATGAACCTATGAAAATAACTTCCATGAATTATAATATTAGTTCATTTTCATAAAATCAGAAAAATTAGTTGAAATTTGTCAAATCAATTACATGCAAGATGATTATAAACCCATTGATAAAAATAAAAAATTTCTGTTTAATTTCATTATATAATCACTTGGTACAACTATATTGTACTATGCTGATTCGACGTGTAAAAATCTGAACAAAACCAGATAGAGTGAATGCATTTCTCTTAAATACATATTGTACGCAACATTTTGAAGAAATTATATTTTATCCTCTTAAATTATTATTCTGATTGGATTTTATCACTTTGATTATTAAATTGACGTCATTGCATCATTAACTATTTAAATTGCTAAATTTTTGCATCAATTGTTAAATTTTAATTTTGCTCAAATTTTATAGTTCACACGACTATTTAGAATACTTATAATGGTGCAATATGTTTAAATGAATAGTTGATGGTTAAGGGAAAATCAAGACCACCATTTAAGGATAACTTGAGGGGCTATGTAAAGTTAAAAAAAAAAATACTTTTTAGGTTAAAGTATATTTTTCAAATTTAAAGGGCCAATTTTAGAAGTAAAAAGTGTAATCCTGAAAAGTTGAAGGGGCCATAGTAACAAAGCCTGGCTCCATTACTGCCCGGGTGTATAGGGTGGTAGCCCATGGGTCCCCCAGGCCCAAGCTTGGCTCCATCACTACTAGGGTGCGTAGGATGATAGCTACCTGATACTTGTATCCACCTCAATACACTCTCATTGATGACAAGTCATTAATTACGAACCTAAATTGACATAATGTCGATCACTAATGTTAAATTGATCAAATTTTGAAGAGTAATATTATATTGATCAAATTTTAGGATTAAATTTGGAGCCAAATGACATGGTAACATATTATTTAAAATTTTTATTTGGGTCTAAATGACACGACACCAAATAAAGAAACATAAGTCAGCTGTTATGTCATTTAGACTTTAAATTTGATCCCAAAATTTAGTCAATGTAGTATTACTCAATTTTGAGATTGAATTTAAAGTTCAAATAACATGTCAGTTGACTTAAGTTTTTTTATTTCGGGTCATGTTATTTGGACCCTAATAAAAACTCTAAATACTATGTTGTCATATTATTTAGGCACTAAATTTGATCATAAAATTTGATTAGCATAACATTAGTGATTATTGATACATGCTTTGCATTTTTGAGGTGAGAGAAATTCACAAGATATGTATTTCAGAAGGGTAATTCTTTATGCATTAAAATTGTGTACTAAAATTTGTACTAAATTATCCACAGTTTTTTGAATCAGTAATGATACCTAATCTAACGGCTTGTAGGATCATGCGGTCTTTTGGTGTCATGTTATTTGGATCCTAATAAAAACTCTAAATAATATATTGTTATTTAAACTCTAAATTTATTCCCAAAATTTCATCAGCAACATTATCAAATGTTTTAATTAGTTTGGAAAATGTTTTTATAGTCAAAGTGCTTATAAAGCTCAAGCAAACTTTCCTCCCTCTTTACCACAGAACCAAAAGCAGAAACCTAACCCTGAAGGTGAGAGTAGAGAGTTCAAGAATCATTAAACCCTCTTAACAAGGCTCTCCTCCCCCAACCACAGTCCACATTCCCCTAAGCGTCTTCGATAAGGTCACTTTCGATACCCATGTAGCACTGATCTATGCCTATCGTCCCCTAAACCCACCAAATATTACCCTAGAGCTAGGGCTTCAAAAGGCCTTATCAGTCTACAGAGAGCGGGCTGGAAGGTATGGTGAAGAGGACAATGGCTGTCCTGTCATTCTTCTCAATGATGAAAGCATGAGGTTTGTGGAAGCATCAGTTGATAGCACTCTTGATCAAGCCATGCCATTAAAACCTTTAAAATCTTTACTAAGCCTTCACCCAAGCTTAAAGGGTGTGGTGGACTTGGTCCAAGTTCAACTTACAAGGTTCACTTGTGGCTCATTGGTGCTGGGCTTCACAACACACCACCATGTGGCTGATGGGCATTCCACAAGCAATTGCGTGGTTGCTTGGGGACTAGCTTGCCGAGGAATCCATATTAGTCCACTCCCTTTGCAGGATCGGACCATTTTCTCCCCTCGAAACCCACCTCGTTTTGAGTTTGATCACAGAGGAGTGAAGTTTATGAACAAAAAACTTGATAAGATTTATCCTCTTGATGATAACTTCATGGATCGAGATCAAGACATTGTGGTGCACAAAGTTCATTTTACCTTACAGTTTCTCGCCAAGCTCAAGGCCAGAGCTTCTTCAATGAATGGTGCTAACAAGCCCTATAGCACTTTTGAGAGCCTTGTTGTTCATCTGTGGAAAGGCATGTGCCTTAAACGGGTTCGAAACCACCCACATAAGAATCGCAGTCAATGGCGGTTGAATCCTAGAGTACCTAATGAGTACTTTTGTTGTGATCGTGCAGCAATTATGGTGAATAGTAAAGAATCAAACAATTAAGAAAGCAGGAGAAAATAACACACAGAGATTTACGTGGTTCGGCAATGTGCCTACATCCACGAGAGCGAGCGACCGTTCTTTTCCATTAATTGAAATAGGGTTACATTTTAAGTATTTATATAACCCTAATATGGACGTATTTATAAAAATACCCCTGTACCGTACCGCGGGGGCGTTGCCCCCGCACCCCCAACTAATCAACGTCCCCTTTATATAAATCCCACAAGGAAGATGCCATCACGGGGGCTCCGCTCCGACATCTGTCTCCTTGCCATTATGCACACAGCAAATATGAGTCACGCATACTCTAACAACTTTGATAACCTTGTGCTCTAGGCATTCCCACGTGCCAAGGTGATGAACCTTTTGGGGGAGCCATTGCCCTATGCAGCGAAGCTCATACATGATGCAGTGGCAAAGGTGAACAACACTTATTTCAAATCATTCATCAAACTTTGCAAGCTACAACATGGAAGAAGAAGATCTCATTACCACGGCTGATGCGGATGCCCCTGTTCTATGCCCTAATTTGGAGGTGGATAGTTTGATAATGTTTCTTTTTGTGACCTAGATTTTGGAGGAGGACGTCCTTACATTTTCATGCCATATACCCCAATCGAGGGCTTGTTGTTTCTTCAACCATCTTCCACTGGAGATGGAAGCATAGATGATAGACGCTTTCATACCTCTATTTCAGGACAACTGGAGCACCTTCGAGCAAATTTGCTACACTATAGACTTGTTTGTACCTAAAATGTAAAATTATAAGAATGTTAAAAAAAATAAGGGATTCGGCAATATACGCAGCTGTGTCTACAATTATGTATGTCACTCAAAATTGGATGCTTAGTTTTTTTCTCTCAATTTTGAGCATAATAGTGTTTGTGCTTGGTGAATGTGTGAAAATTGGTGTTTAATTTGTAATGGAGCTAGAAGGCTCTTAGCAAGCATTCAAATAAAATAGAGAAAATGGTTGAGCTTGGGATACCAGAGGACACAAAAATTACAGTGGTTCACTAGTTATAGAGTTTGGGTAGTCTACTCTAATAGATTCTCTTGCTATCGGAGATTTTGTATATTTCTTGGAGAATGATTGATTACGGTGTTTTTCCCATGTCCTCTCTTGACTAAGGGTCTTGGTATTTATATGTGATGTTAACATCACCATCGGGTGGTCCCTTAATTTGGTAGGATTTTGTTAAAGAAATATTTGAGTTATTTGGGTCTACATTGCCAAAGCCGTTAAAGACTATATTCTCTACAAGTGACATGGTCTTTTAAAACATGTTATAGTGGCATGATGACCTGTCTTCCGGGCTGGACATGTGACGATCTCTTATGCCTCTGGCGGAGTCTGCCATCTATTAAGTATGCTTTGGGGGTGAACTCTCCCTTTGAGGTTAGCTCGTGTATTAGGAGGTCGGCTCAATCAGTTGTCATGATCGATCTCGTAATGTTAATACTCTTCGAGATTTCTATGGGGTGATCTGAATGATTCTTCTTAACGTCATCATCATAGACCAACCTGGGCTTCTCACCTAGGGTAATCTTCATTTTACGGCTTCAAGATGGTCCAATTACTTCGATTAAATTGTCATTGTTTGATGGTGCCATTTTCTGGGTATCATCAGTGCTATTATTATACACAAACGTTATTGTATGTGTTGTTACTATTAATAAACTGTGTCTTTTTTTCAGAAGTAAAAAATTTCATCGATTAAAAGACTTCACAAGCAAAGAGCCTCAACACAGCCAAAACAGTGTGTACACATAGAAGCATATAACACAAGGGCCACAAGAGCAGAACAAAACTGGAAACTCGGGCCAGCAGACAGCAAAAGAGCATAGCCAAACAAGGCTAGTCAAGACATGAGGTGGGAAGGTTCCAGTTGTGCACAAGCTGCAGTTTCTGGAAGGAATTCTTGACCTTCAAAATAGAAAACCTCTCCCTTATGGTAGTTTGAATTCTGTGGAAGCCTACTCATCCATCAGCTCCTCTCATCAGTGCGGTTTTAAGAAGCGTCTAAGGACAGTTCACTTGCGTTATGCTCTCATCAACAAATTCATTGCAATATATTCGGTTGTTTCTCTCCCTCCACATGCTATAAACAACTGTAGCAAGGTATAGCTAGAGAATATCTATCCTAAGGATTTTCTTTCCCGTTAGAGTTCACCCATTCAACCAGGGTCATTCCATGTAGCTGAGATCCCTGATGGTCACACAGTAGCATCAATTGGTGCTATATAACTTCTGAGAAAGGGCACGCATAGAAGAGTTGGGCGTGAGATTCAACAGACTGCCCACATAGTGTGCATTATAAGTGATGATGCACAAAATAGACTTATGCACAATAAATAGTCGAGGGTATGATTCAGAATAATTAATGAAGTAATCAATATAGTAATTAATGAAAGAGACAAATATTTGATCAACACAAGCAACACACAGATGTATAGTGGTTCGGTCATGAGACCTACTCTACTCCAAAAGCGGCAATGGTGGTGAGAGAGAACTCTGGGAGAGGTATGGTAGCTATGTAGAGGTGTGTAAAGAGATGCGGGTGTGTAAAAAGTGTCCCTTATGTGCAGATGACTTATAATTTATAGACACGGAGCCTTAGTTGAAATAGTGGCGTGATGGGTAGGTTACTAATTTTTCGGGAAGGATAGCTACAACTAAAAATAGGTACAATTAAAAATGACCTTGATCTTTGATAGTGGCTATCCCGACTATTGCTCCCCATATGCGCTAACTTTTTGGATCCCTCGAATCTTAGACTGGGCCGGAATTATAAGTTAGGCTTCACCTGCCTTATAATTGATTTGGGCTTATCACATCAATTGGGCCGGACCCAGTTGTATCTGGGCTTATCACTAAGTTCACTTGTGGAGCAAAGTGAACAATTCGATCCTTCGTACTGAGCTTATTTCTGATAGCAAGCCACAAAACAACACTCATCCTATGTATATTCTGTTGGTGCCACAAGAATTTGTAAAGCAAGATCTGATAGTTGCATCATTTTTAGTCCCATTTTTATACCCAGAGCAATAGTCCAGAGAAAAAAAAAAAAAAAAACAGAAGCAAGACGTTCAATAGATTTTGTAAAGCAAGATCAACATTGGGATAGTTTAGAGCACTGGGGGCAGCCAAAATGTCCTCTGCCTCAACATTTTGTGCAGGAAAAAGATCTCATAGTTGCATCATCTCCAAACAATCGATAGAGGTCATCCACCAGACTAAAGTTGAATGGTCCGCTTTATTTAACTAATCCTGATAGCTTCAACAGGGATCAAGTTCAAGCCCACAAATGCTGATAGCTTGTTGGAAATAAATTTCCAAAACCGGATCTTCAAATTTCAACAGTAACCATTAACGATTTCACCAGCACCCTTCTCATAAATCTGTCGCTTGGGAACAGTGTAGGGATTCCGGCTCCGAATACTTCACAGACTATGTCTCTTTCATGAATTGTCTCATCAGCCAACCAAGAGATGTGGCGTTTCTCTGTTTGGATGGAATAATCACTAGATCTTCGCAAGATGACCTATAAGTAGCTAATTTTTTCAGTAATCTTGGGAAGAATATTGTCTTCAATGTTCGCAACTGCCATCTCTCCAAGCAGTTCAGAGACGTGGAGGCCTATCACAGCAGGGCAACTATGATGTGCACTTATTTTAGCTTTCCATGGTAATTAATCTTAGTCTTTTCTGCCTTCCTTGTTATAGTACTCACTATGATACAAACTATTTTGTCTGTTTTGAGTTACCAAAGCCCATTCGGATAGATTAATATACAATGTGCATTATCCATCTATTGAGTTTTGAAGTGTACATTGTGCTTTCAATGAGTAGGAAAGGTGTATAGTCAAGATATGGCATTAGAAGTTCAAATGGGGTAAGCAAATAGTCAAATAATGGAAGGGTTTTTTTTAACCTATTTCATTTTATTCTTTCTTTTGATCTGATGGTTGTATTACACTCAGAACGGAAACTGGACTTGGAACTTTTGGTATGCCCACCGTTTTTTAGGTTAACTTGCCCCATTTGATAAGTTAATCTGGGCGCAGTGACGAGGAAACACAGATGCTGTTACAATCACCTCACATTATGTTTATCTGACTAAATGAATCAATCCGCCTGCTGTTATTGTTATTTGCTTCAAAGTCCAGCTTGCGTCCATCGTATGACACAGGAAAGAGACAGAGGGGAGAGCCCTCAAAGTTCCCATTGCGTGCAATCCCACACCCAAGAACAAGAACTGTAATGGATTCTCCTCAAATTGAATTGATCGGTTGTATACCAATTAGGAGTCCTAGTAAGAAAGAGGACAGGCAAAGGTTAATTTTGATGGGGCTGTTTTCTGAGATATTGAAGCATCAGGCATGTGCCCTCATCAAAAACTGTCAGAGACGAACCAATGTTCCTTCAGACTGTCAAGCCAGGGTCTTTTGCCAAGATGCAAAGCATGAGATTGCTCAAATATTTTGCATAGGTGCTGTTCATCCTTGTCATTTTACTTTCTGGTGTCATCTTATTTGTTGAAAGCAAAGTTGATCTTGAGTCGAATGAATGTGATCTGAACAAGATTTCATTTTACTTGCATCTTTTACAGCTTTCAGGGGTGTGAATTTGATCTTTGATTTACATTAACTTGGCACTTCTACTATTCGAACTGTCATCAACTTGGATCATGAACCAGTTCAATCAGGCTGTTGCGTGTCTGATTTACTGCATCAACTACGTACTAATTGCTTCTATAAACTTCTGATTAGCAGATTATAAAGAAGCTCATATGCCCTTTTAGTTTTATGTAATGATATATGAACGCTGAACAGGTTTAGTTCATGTATGTAAAGCATTCTTCATAACCCTGGCAACCCCTTGAGATGATATGGGAGATAAACCTCTCATAAATTCTGCAATGGTGTATATCAAATATCGGTCTACTGATTAAAGAGAGAGGGAAATTGCACCAATCGTGAGGTAAATTTTATAGAATTTGCAAAATCAAAACCACATCTCATGTAATACTGTGTTGGGTTCATATCCCCACATAACATAAAGTAGTAATTTTTTTTTTAACTTCACGAAGACAAAATTTTCGTAAGGTAAAGAATACTATTTGACCAAAAAATATCATGATGAAGTAAAGTTTGAACATGTTTATCTTTATTTCATTCTTTTCTAGAGCTATTCTTTAATTAAATTTTAATTTGACTGTTCAAGACTTCGTAGTTTCTCTGCCTTTCGTTTTTCAAATGATGTCCCGGAATGAAAAAAAAGATTTAACAGAAAGGGAACGTGATAAAAAAGGCAACAACCACAAGGATCTTGAACAGCATCTCCTGCCCTTGCCTAAATTTGAGTTAAAAAAAAAATTAATTTGGTATACACTTCTCTAATAAAAAAATTCAAATTTAAGGGAAGAGAATCTTAAATTTAAATGAGAACAAATTTAAATTTAAAAGAGGGTAAAATATGACAATTGGATCTGGAGAGTGAAATCTCACTATTGAAAATCTAGGAATCGATTTGAGTAAAAAAAAAAAAGTTTTCTTTTACTTGATATGAGTATGGGTCTAGCATTTGAGAAAATTTTTGGAATATTTTACCTAAATTTAAATTTTGATTTAACCAATGGACTTTTAGTTCAATGGTACTTGTTTTCTTGTGAAGGTTTTTATTTTCTTGAGGTCATGACTTTAAGTTCTCCTCCCCCTTTCTCCCTCCCAAAAAAGAAAAAAAAAATTGGGTTTAGAAGTGATCAAGATTGGAAATGCTCTAATTTGATTTGGAGTGCAATTTGATCAAGCCAACCCGAACCCAACCCAGGAAAACAGAGTTTGGATTGAGTTTTTAATACTTGGGTTGAGTTTGGGCAAAAAAACACTAACCTGAATTTAATTCGGGCAGTACCCAAGTTACCAAGTTTAATCTAAATATATAAATTAGACTCAACCTGGATATATTTAAAAATAAATATCTAAATCAATAGAGTAATATAATTTATAAGTTAAAACACTCATAATCAGTCTTCTAGCTTAACCTTATGTTAAACATGTGACTATTATGTCTTTATGTTAAACATTGACTTTATTTTTAAAAATATTGTTTTTATGCTAAGCAATTGATTGAAGTTGTTGGTTATAACTTTAAGTGAATACTAGATAGTATATATCAGATTTAGAACAACATGTTGATTTCGGGTTTAAATGAATCCAACTCGAATTCTAACACGAAATTAACCCAAATTACTTAACGTGAACCAAACTTGAATTTTAACCTGAAATTTGTTTGAATTACATAACCCGAATCAAACTAGAGCCCGCCTGAATTAAACTTGAGCAATACTCGAGTTGAGATCAAATTAGGGTTAAAATTAGAATTGAGAATTATATATTTAGGGTTAGATTAAAATTGACTCTCAAACTATCCGAGTTGGAGTTCTAAATATTAGTTCTCTCTCTCTGGGTTCAGCCAAGCACCATCAGCAACCATGGGGAAAATTCCAAACATTTCAAATATACAAATCTAAAGCCATGCAGTTGCTAGGAAGTACATCTTACCTTATATTTTTGTAGTTAATAATCCACCACTAATCTATTACTATAATATATAACAATGTTATGGAGAATAAATTAGGGGATCTATTCAAAGGCCTAATTTATAATTATTAGATTAGTTGTAAGTTTAACTATTAAATAGAGCTCACTTAAACCGAAGAGTTACATGTAATTAAGTCTTTAAATTAGATTCAAACAATATTTTTTAATATATAATAGGTGCCAAAAATTAAATTTGTAAACTTATATTGCTATTGTGTAGTTCCAGGAAAGTGTCAATGTCTCACGTGAAGGCACAATGTCCCATGAAGGGGCAGTTCGCAGCCCATGTGGAGGCACTACATATGTCCTATGTGAGAAATTATTCATGTGTCAGACAATGTATAATACTAGAGTAATTTGTGTTGACTGTATAGTGGGATGCGAATAATTTTGATCGAGATATTGTGATCGTTGAATTTATTTGATATAAGCGAATGTATTTATTAAAGTCTATCATTTTTTATATTATAGATATTATATGTGAATGTATAATATTTACCAATGAATTGTTAGTCTAGTGAATAATAACCCAATTTTTCTCGTTCAATGCTTATGTTCGAGTTTTATAATTACGATAATTTGTTATGATTAAATTTATTCTTTAGCGTCCAGAGCATGAGGTGAGACTTTAGTTTCGACCCCAACGTAGGTATGATAGGATCCCCTATAGGTAACTGAGTAGTGCTAAGGTAGCGAACATGTAGAGTGACCTATGTACATAACTATTTTTTGTACCCAAAAAAAATATATAATATTTTATGTGTGATGTACATGAGAAGGTAGGTTCACATGGTACCTTGCAAGCACGAATATTTTCTTGTCCTATGTAGTGTCCCACTGTCCGGTGAAGGAGAAAATATTTATTATAACGGTGATACTATGTTAATATTATCACATGATATCACTAATTAATAATATATAACGGTAATGTTATGTTGATCAAATTTTGAGACAAAATTTTGAGCACCAAATTTAAAGCCCAAATGACATGACACCAAATAAAGAAGTCCAAGTCAGCTATCATATCATTTGAACTGTAATTTGGTCCTAAAATTTAATTAGTGTAGCATTATTAAATATGTAAACCTACATAAATTAATAACTGTTGGGTGTATTTTTCAATTATAACAAAGTCACTTATTAAAATCTTTAATTTGTGTCATGAAATGTCAATAGAAATGAAAGTAAACATATAAAGAAATAGAAGTGACCCGTTTGCAGAATAACAACTATGATTGAACATTAAATAAATCAAAGTTAGTGTTTGATATTATATCCTTAAAACATATTTTGCCCCCACACTTGGTACTTATGAAAATCTAAGCGTCTACCTCTCAAGATACAATAAATTTCATACACGTAAAAGTAAAATTCCAATTTAAATGCCAAGCGAACCATAACTGTATGTTGTACTCTTAGATGTGCAGATTGCTAATACTAAAAATATGGATGTAATTTCTGTCTTAATTAGTAATGTAGTTGATGCAGAATGACACTAAATCTAAATTATTTATAGACAAAATGATGACTAACTTGAACAACTATCATGGGAACAAACACAACTTAGAAGACACCATTAATGTCTACTTATCAAACAAACACGAATTCAAAAATTTGGTCTAGAGGAAAACCAAAAATTCGAACTATTGCGAATTTTGAATTCCAACAGATAGAAATTAAAATCGAGCTAAGAAATTCGAACTCAATTCATTAACTGAATTTTCTCCAAAAAAGATAAGGTTAGACCACACCCAGACCCGAGCTTGGCCCAGTCCATGTCGTGCGCTCGCCTATGGTCGAACCGAAACCCATGTAAGTGTTCGCTCCACTCACAAAAGTGTGGTACCTCTTAGAGTCCGATCCATAATGCAAACTTGTGATATATATGTACATGTAGAATTTTGTGTCCAACTATTGTTAGATCGAAGTAAATCTCACGTTATGTAATCTCTTATTTTCACATTACAAAAGGATTATTTTGAAGCCTATTCTTTTATTCATCTCTTAGTTGATTTGAGCAAGTGAATATATAACGTTATTCTCTTTACGAAGTAGAATACAAATCTACGAAAGTTTACTCGAGATGACGTTTAAGTCCTATTTCAATTTAGGTTCAAAGTCGACCTAAAATTCAATTTTTACAACCAAAAATCTATTTTGGTCCAACAATAACTATCCTCCGTGTAAGCCAATAACTACGACTGTCTCCATGCACACTAATAATTACTCAAGCAATGTTTAATTTTGTCAATTTAATATTTTATTTTTAATTGATAATATCATACGACGATGTTTATCCGATATCACAGTTATAATAAATATTTACTTTACGCGAAGAGGCGGTTCGCAGCCAATGTGGAGGCACTACATTTTGATATTATCCATTGTAGTGGCACACTGTCCCATGTATAGGCAAAGATGCAAGCAACTGCAAAATGTTGAGAGACATTTCCCAGCAACCGCGGAGAAAATAGCACTTGCAGTTCCCACCAACTGCAAAATCATAAGATAAGAGGAATCGATTGCGCGTATGGCACCATTTTAAATCCAGATTTATAGTCGATGTTAACGAGTGTTTACAAAAAGTTTTTATTAAAAATATTTTGCAAACATATTTTCACATCAAAAAAATGTAACTTTGTATTATGATATAAAAATAATTGATAAAATACCGAAGGTAAGAGACAATTCCCGACAACTACAGCAGGGACATTTGATACTTTCCAGCATTACAAAATGGTAGGTGGCACAATGTGCAAGTGGTACTTATTAATCCATAGGGATAAATATTATAATGACACATAATAATAGGGATTTTTTTGAAAATCTGCCAACACCTCTCCTAAGTCATATGTTTCATTTGGTAGGAATGATTGAAAGTAGGAAGAATAAAAAAACATGAATGATACATTTTATATTCTTTAAGGAAGGAAAGTAGAAATAATACACTTTCTTTCTTTTTTGTTTGGTATAATGAATGGAACATATAAATGATTAATTTTTTTATGTATTAATAAAAAAATAAAAGGATGAAAAAATATAAATAAATAATCTGTAATTAATAAATATGATATATTGTATATATCAAATAATAAATAGATAAATAACATACATTTTAACGTATATAATTAACTTTTCATTAACTTTTCTCTTTTGGAAGAATCGATTTTGTGAGTTAAAAAGAAAGCTAATTCATCTACTTTTTTATCCTTCATATTTTCTTCCTTACCAAACATGATGTTTTATCTATCCCTTCAATTTTTCATCCTTTCAACTTTTCATCTTTATATTTTTTCATTGTACCAAACAGAGCATTAGTCTAGTGATAGGGTTAAGGGAAAATTTCTTGTTATTTTTATCCTTTATTCTTCCAAAATATTTTCAGCCATTTCGATCAGCCACCCATTTCATCCCTCTCAAAAGTGCATAATTTATACATGTATATGTGTGTCCGTGCGTGCGTGCATATAACAAACAAAAATAATGTTATTGAAACTTAAAAATTTGATCTAATTGTGTGATACATGATATGATCCAATAATATTGTTATAACTGTAAATGTCGAATTTTTTTTATCGAGACTTTATCACTAAACAAATCATCCTGTCAACAAATTAGGAATTGAATCATATTCAAGCTCTAGAAATTCGAGTCTACTATAAAGCTGTAATCCAGTAGCATGGAATTGCTGGGAAGTGTCATTGATACTTGGTGGAAGTAGCATTTGCACTTCATTTCTCCATATGTGCCATGCAATTGCCTGGAAGTACTCTTATATGTCAAGTCTTTTCCCTTCACGAAAAGAAAAATGCGGAATCCAAACTATATATATATCCTAGTATCGTGCGTTCCAACATCGTACCCTCGATTAATCTTAACACACATACGGAGAGAGAGAGAGATGGGTATAGAGAGAGAGCTCCAAGCTATTTTCAATGGTGCATATGAGAATGATGAAAGATTGAGTAAAGTCCCACTAAAAAATGGAGTAAGCTCAGAGTCCGGTGAAGGGAGTTCAAGCGAGACAAGTGAGGAAATGGCCGAAGTCTATGAAGAAAGAGTACTCAATCAAAGCAACGAAGACGAATCAGATGCTTCGTTCCTGAATCTTTTGAGACGCCGTCTTGAGGAAAACCTTCAGCCACAAACAAAATTGGAAAGGCGAAGCTCATCACCTGCGTGCATCTTCAGGCTTCCTCCTAGCCTTGTGGCTATCAATGACAGTGCCCGAAAGCCTGAAATTGTATCGATAGGACCTTTCTACCGCGGCGAGGAGCATTTACTCGCGTTTGAAGAGCATAAGTGTTTATATTTGCATAACTTCCTTCGTACTCGACGTGACTTATTTGGAAAAGATCCAAGTTTTTATCTTGATCGGATGAGAAGCTTAGAAAAGCGCACAAGAGAATGCTACTCTGATACAATCATCATGTCTAGTGATGATTTTGTTCAAATGATGTTACTGGACGGTTGTTTTGTAATTGAGCTGTTAGTGAGGTTTCTACCAGGAGGTTTCTCAAATGATTTGAACGACCCCATCTTCACAAGGCCATGGCTGATCCCAACACTTCTTAAGGACCTCATCAAGCTGGAAAACCAACTTCCTGCTTTCGTTATTGAATCTTTGTATGGAGACGATATTAGTTTACTTGCCCTGAAAGTTTTCAACGAAACCACCTTTTCAAAGATCTGCCAGATGAATATCTCCATGGCCAACCGTCAGAAAGCTAATCATTTACTCGAGTTTTTATACTTCAGTCTTGTACCCTCCGAGAAAGTCATCAATATCCAAGGGCTAGAGGGATATCGTGCATCAAACCACTCCATGCCATCCGTTACGGAACTGCGCTCAGCAAGGGTCAAGGTCAAGCCGAGGAACGGTTATAGCTTCTTGTACATAAAATTCCGAAACCGGGTCCTCCAAATTCCAACCATAACCATTAATGATTTCACTGCCACCCTTCTCATAAACTCTGTTGCCTTGGAACAATGCCGGGACTTCCACTACAAATACTTCACAGACTATGTCTCTTTCATGAATGGTCTCATCAAACAACCAAGAGATGTGGCATTTCTCTGTTCGGCTGGCATTATCTCAAGATTTTCGCTAGATGACCTCTATGTTGCTAATCTTTTCAATAATCTTGGGAAGAATGTTGCCTTCAACGTGGGCAGTTGCTATCTCTTCAAGCAGTTCAGAGAAGTAGAGGCCTATTACAACGGCTACTGGGCAACCATGATGCGTACTTATTTTAGAAGTCCATGGTCCTTTATCTCGGTCTTCTCTGCCTTCATTATCATAGTTTTCACTATGATACAGACCATCGTCGCTGTTTTGAGTTACCAGAAGCAGTTCGGATAGATCAACACATACAACGTGTTGCAGCCATCTATGAGTTCTTACGCATAGATTGTGCTTTCAACAGGTAGAAGGATGTATTGTCAAGACATGGTATTAGAAGCGCAAAAGAACGGGGTAAGCAATTAGTCAATTGATGGAAGGTTTTTGTACTGTTTTTTCATTTTGTTTTGGAACCGAGGTTTTTGTACTGTTCCATTTTATTTCTTTTGATGTATAAGATGTTCGTATTATGCTCAAATGTCAATTCTTCGCGGAAAATATTGCATACCCACCTTTTTTTTCTTCGTTCAGCCATGGCCAATTTGATAAGTGGGGTCGGGGGCTATGAGAACGAACCATATCTGCTCTTACAATCACTCCATACTATGACAACTACCAATATCCCGTGCATGAAGATAATGAATAACATAAAAAAAAAAAAAAAATTAGCATTGATCGTGTAAATTACTGATAAATAAAAAAAACAAAATTTGGACTTCCTGCTACAATTTTGTCACAACCCACAGTTGTCATTTTGGGCTTTCAGCAATTTTGATATGCTCGTGATGGATGTATTGATTATAAGAAACCCCATCAGAGAATTTTAATCAGAGGGTAAATTTCATCTTTAACAACCCAAAAAACATATTTATCCAAGAGATATTCCAACCATCCATATGATTTCCAAATCTCATTTGAGTACAAATTAAAAATCAGATGACAAACACAAGTCTACATTCTGCAAGCTGGCTTACAACTTCACTTTCAGCCATGATCTTTTTTTCGAATGCAAAACCAACCGGTCACCTCAATTTTACGTCATACATGAAATCTTAAAACCAAGTCCAGAAAAACTTACAACATATTTGGTAAAGCAAGATCAGCCGTGGGACAGTTTAGAGCACTCGGGGCAGTTGAAATGTCCTCTGCCTCGACATTTTGTGCACGAAAAAGACATCATATTTGCATCATCCCCAAACGACCGATAGAGGTCATCCACCGGATTAAACCTGAATAGCCCGCCTTCTTTAACTAATCCAGATCCTTTACATCCTGAGCACGCGATCAGCCTCAGATCACCACATCTCTTGCACATACCCAGTGAGCTGCTTATTCAAGAAATACAATATGTCAAATATCAGAATCAATGCATACATCTAAATTCCACACCTACTTGTAAGAACTAGTGGGAAAGCTAATTTCAATACATCTTTTTCTTCGCAGTTCTGATGTTTCTTTAACAATCATACAAGATAATAACGAAAAGGTGTGACTTGTTTTGATAGATTTTTATTTTGGCACAAAATCAAAACCACATCCGTCAACAGTTGATTAAAATCGAATTTCACACATGTCACAGGCCAAATATTAGATAAAATCCTGCACCATTTGGGTGTGTTTGGGTAGGAGGTTAAAGTGGGTTAACACCCATATGGAAAGGCTAATAGTGCAATGGGTCCCAGAAATCCCTTGTTTGGGAAGCATTTTTGAGGTTGGATAAGGTATGTAACTTTTTCATATATTTAACTGCTAAACATATTTACTTTTGAATTCAATTCTTGACTAAAATCCCACCCTTTGATAGGAAACGAATGCTGAAACAGCCAAAACCACTACTGGCAAAGGAAATTCAAGGGACCCAAATGAAATTTAACAGTAGAACCCACATAATCCAGCGTCCGTAACCATAATTGGGACATTTTATTGACAGAGGCAAATCGAAATGGTTCAAAATTAAAAAAACCCATAAGCAGTTATGAATGTTATGGGGGATAGAGAGAGAGAGAGAGAGAATTACCTCCGTTGGGAAGCAGAAATGAGAGAGTCGATTTTGGGGGCAGAAATGGTGGCACAGAGGAGTAGAGCGCCCACCCCGTAGCCAGCCAGTTCGTTTGCTGTGATGTGTTCAAACATCTCTTCTTCTTCCTTGTAGCTGCGTATACTCTGCTCCTCCACCTCAAAAGGATTTTCATAGATGAGATGATACCACAACTCTGGATGTGTACCTGCGTATGAATAATATTTATTTGGAAAAATTACACCCAGATCCCTTAACATTTAAAATATTAAACATAAACCCCTAATGTTTGTACGGATAATCAATTAGTAAATTATATCTAGACCCCTAAAATTTAAAATATGTAATACTTAAATCCCTTAAAATATTACACTTAGACAAAAAATTCTCTAATTAAAGATAAAATATCAAAATATTTAAATTTTTAGAACTAAAATTCATGATCTATTATTTCATTTATTGAAATAAAATAAAATAAAAATTTATTGATGCCAAAATTTGGACGACCTACAAGTTTGTTTGTTAGACTTTGATCACCTGAAAAGGAAGTCGAAGATCGAAGGGGAGCTCTAGGCATTGACTCTCTGATGTCTAAGTCCTTAAATGACTCAAATGCATAAATTGTGTTTAGATGTTAGAAGTGACATACATAAAGTATCAATATATGAATTGTGTTTAGAAGTTAGGAATGGCAAACCTAGAGCATCAATGAAACTCTATTTATAAGAGTTCCAGCAATTTGATTTGTGTTGAGATAATGATTGAAGATCTAATAAGGGGTCTAATTATAAAATTTTAAAGTCTAAGTGCTATATGCCTATAAATTTCAGGAAATTTGAGTTTGGTTTACTAAAGACATACTAATGGTCATTGTAATAGGGATTTAAGTGTTTTGGGCATATAAACCTCAAAAAATTTGTGTTTAATATTTTAAATATTAGGAGTAGGGGTGTTCACTCTACCTTACGGGTAGGAAATATGCTCTACTGTCTTCCTACCCGATACTTTGCGGAAGAGTTTTTTCTTGGCCTACCCTACCCGACAGGTGTTGTATTCTTACCCCACTTCCTACCCACTTAATCAAGTAGGAAGTCGGGTAAATATTTTTGTAACAATTAATTTTTGAATCATTTTAACAATTTAATTAAATAACATGCACCAATTTAACAACACAATAAATCAATTAACACTAAAATTTAAAACAACTACAACAAGAATTATAATAAAATACAAGAAAGTATGAACATCAATCCACCATAATTGTTACACAAATAAAATAACAATTAATTTAAGTTTAAACTTTAAACCATATGAAATACATTAAAATCATAATTGATCCGCTAGGGTTTAGGGTTTTTTTTAGTTTATATATATATATTAAAAAATTATTGCAAGTGGGGTAGGGTAGGTGACTATTCCGCATTCCGACCCGAAAATTGTCGAAAGACCAAAAACTCTTTTGCATCCCTACCCGATTTTACGGCTAGCTGTTCGGTAAAGTAGGATAGGGTAGGGTAGGAATTTGTGGCCAGTCGAAAATTTAAACACCCCTAATTAAGAGATTTAAATAATTAAGTGACAAATATCGTAAGATTTGCGAGTAAGTTTTTCCTATATATTTTCTCAATCCTGCAAGGATAACACCATGGTACGAGAGCAAAAAATTGATATTGCCCAAAAATTATAACTTAATTTTAAAAAAATTATCATTTTTTGTACAAGTATTGAATGTGGTACGATTTGATTTTTAAAAAATTAGCAATGCACGACGTGCGTTGCACTTCTATATACTTAAATAATAATATTCTCATAAAAATTATATATTATATGTCTAATTAAATTAAATAATAAATTATATATTTTTAATTTTAATTATTATCAAACTCAATTATTGATTTATTATACTCCTCTTCCATTGTTTAATCTGTTATTTGTTTAGATCCCTCACATCCCTTAGATATTTTCTCTCTTGTTTAAAATGAATCTTTATTGTAAGATTGAGTATTTGCACTTCAAAAGAAACAAGAATCCTTAATTTGTAAACATACCATTACGTGTGATTTTGTGATAGCACATTCTGTGTGCCTAAAAAAAATAAATGCACCTGACTTTCCAACGACCACATTATTCTAACGTTCTAAAAAAAAGGGTTAAAAACGAAAAAAAAAAAAATTCTTGAACTAAGTTTCACTCTCACTTCACCCTCTTATATTTTTATGGGTTTTATTTAACCCTCTTCAACTTGTGAATTGCAAATATTAACAGAAATAACAGTTTATATAAAAAGATTAAACTACCTCATAATTGTAATCCAATTTTCTTTGTGATGTCATCGTTGTAGAACCTTTATCTTTGAAAAACAAAACCTGCCACTATCAAACGACATGGTGAGGCTTATTTTTTCATAAGGATTTCAATGGTGTGATTAAATTTAAGTTTCATGTTATATGTGTTCTTGAATTTGTGTTTGAAGCTTAAAGTGATAATTGGATTTTCAAATGAGTTGCATAACAAACAATCTTTTTTTTCTCAATTGAGGCTTGAGTTGTGTTATGAGGTTGTAATACAGTGTATTGGAGTGCTTGAAATGGCCTAGGTGTGTGTGTGGTAAAGAAATCCACTAAGTTTTGGAAATTTGAAAATCAAAATTTTGAAAAACTTGTTAAAGCTTCAAAAGAAAGGTTAGTTC